CTCATGGAGCCAGGCAGTTTTCAGCTCTATGTTCTTGCAGCACTGTATGTCCCAGGTGACAAAAGGTTTTAGATTATTAGAAGATAAACTGTTATCACCTGGGCTGACAGTAAACTGCCATTAGACATCAGCTCAATAGAGCAGCTCCTATAGGAGGAGAGCAATGGTGCACACATGTAGAGGCTGTTTGCTTGGCCAGCTGCATCCCTTGGGTGTACTGGCTGCAGAGCACATGCCAAACTTGTCATTGCTAGATTTAGACATACAAACTGCTATAATTTCTTTGGAAAGACTGTGGCCTCCCTCAGCTGCCCCTGCTCCCAGGGGTTGGGGAAGATGTAGGAGATCTGATACTGGGAACCCCCTCTGTCCTACCCTCCCTCCTCTTGCTGTTTGCCAGAGTAATGCTATCAATAGGAATTCAGAGCACAGCACAGTAGAGAGCCACAGACCCAGCAGCACTGAAATAGTGCATCAGTGGACCAGAAGTATAACTCAGGTCCCAAAACTCCCTTGTGAACCTGACCCATGGGCAGTGCTAAAGGCAATTCAGTTTTTCAGTGCAGAAAAGAAGTCAAATGCAAACAAGAAGCTTGATTCTTTTACAGGGTGAAAAGAGATCAATAATGAAAATATTAAGGATTCTTTCACCTTGAATACTCAAGATTTTTTTTTCCTTCAAAAGGGCAGAGTAGATGTACAGAGCATCCAGTGAAAGACAAAACAAGTTACAAGAGGTGTGGCAGATCTTCCATGCAAGGGAAGCTTAAATTGATTAAGAGACAAATGAGAGGTGATATGTTAGTGGTATATAGGATAGTGAATTGCCAGAAGAGGTCAGTCAGGCGATCCTATTTAGCCTTTCCCATAAATCAAGAGCAAGTGGAGTGCCATACAATAATGCTAAAAGCTAATGAATTTAAAAGTGATACAAGTAAAATATTTTCTTACATGGTGCATAATTAACCTGGGAAATTCATCAGATACCATTAAGACAAAGAGTCTAGCAGGATTAAAAATGGATACTAAGTGACAGAAACTACATAAGGACAGAAATGTACAAAGGATATTTATCTATTTACATACTCAAATCCATTTGCTGCCTGGGGTTGCAAAGAAACATCCCCTGTGGGAAAGCAAGACATAACGATTGGGCTTCTTGCATCACTGCAATGGACAGACTGGGGCTGAGTAATGGGCTGGTGGAGCTGCTTTCAATATGGTCATTCTGTCACATTTTCCAGAGCAGAGGGAGGGCACATCTCCAGCTACCCAAAAACACGACCAGAAAATATACAGAAAGGTTCCAAGCTTCTCAGCTTTGAGCAAGTGTAGAAGTTATTGCTAGGGAGATGGTCAGATCTGGGAGATAAAAGGAGTGGCTATGAAACTTATGAACAGAAGCTGAGCATGGGCATTGTGTTTTGACACAGGCAGAGGAGAATCATGTGAAATTTATGAGTCTGCCTTTTATTAACTGAAATGTGCTCTAAAATGGCTCTAAAATGGTAGTGTGTTGTGGGTAATTAATTGGCATGCATTCTGAACTTGAAATGTTTTATGATCCCTCTTAAACTTATTAAAGAAAGCTGTCAGCTTCTACCAAAGGTGTAAGCTATTGTCTCAGGTTTTACAGTGTGCATGTAGCTTTTTGGAGGTGCATGGCTAGGCTGTATTGCAGTGGGATGGTGACTATCCTTATTTCTCTATTAGGTCTTTCAAAGATCCTTGTCCTTTGTAAGGATAAGAAAAAAAAACAGGGAATCAGTTCTTGAATAATTTCAGGTACCTTTGGATGTATGCAATTGCCTAGTTCAAAAGTTACACGCAATATATTTGTACAGCAATCATATCATATATTCTTCCACCGTAATGCCTTGTGGTGAATTAGCACAAGAAAGCAATCACAGCTTCAGCACCACCCTGTAAGCATTCCCTTAGTAAACCCTTGTAAATGCTATAATGGGATGGAAAGTACTGTGATAACGTTGAGATGGCAAAGTCTTTAGTTACAGCAAATAAGAACAAGCCTAAATACAGCTACCACAGACACAAACATGAAGGAAAAGAGGTGCTTACCATTGGAAGGCTGCAAGAAGGCAGGGATCTCCAGTAAGAGATCCTCTTACCTCCACTGCCAGCCCTTAAATGAGGTCTGGGAAGGGGTGGATCCTCTCTCCAGCCCTTCTGGTCACTCAGGTACATTGTTTGCACCTGAGCTCCCTTGGGTTGGCCCTGCCTTCCCACCAGGTGCTCAATCACTAGTTCAGGCCATGACTCAGCATTTCCACTACAACCCTATTGGCTATGAAGGGCTCCAGTACTCGAATATTGAAGGATTCGAGTAGGTCCTGTCCTCAGCAGACCTCTTGCTGAAGCTGCTTCTTATGCGTTGTATTCCTTGCTCCTCAGGGAAAGGTTTTTTTGCTGTTATCCAAAATGAGTGCTAGAGAAGGTTCCTCTGTTCTGCAAAACAAGCATTGCCCTGGGGCCCTTATGTAAGTCTTGCAAAAATCAGAGCTTGTGATCGAGACCTCCATCTATGATTGTGTTCAGCTTCCTGATGCTCCGTACTCCTTCCCTTCTTGTAAAAGGAATGCAACTCAAGGGAACCTGCTGTACAAAAATAATATGTGCACTCCCAGGGGCTTGTATTTCAGCCTCTGTTGAGAATTGACCATGTATGCCTGATTACAGTGGTGATTGTGGTCCCAGCTTCTTTCTTTCAGGTTTTCTCCCATACTCTACCTATGGTCTATATCCTGCCTAGTAATTTGTTAGCCAAGCTTCTTGAGCATTTTGATCTGAATGGAAGGGTTTGACTCTATTGCAACATGGGATGTTTACGAAAACAGACCTGCACTGCAATTGGCCTAGCAGAGAAGAGCTATCAATTAAAATGCATGTTAATCTCACTTTCTGTCTGTGGATATACAAATACATACATACACACATACATATATACATATGTATATGTAAATAAAAAGAGATAAAAATGAGTTCAGGGCTGTTTACTGGTATTCTAGCTTGTCAAGATCAGGCTGTGCCATAATTTGCCCACAAATTCTGTTTCTCAGTTGAACTGCTTGAGTCTGACATTATTTCTTAAAAAAGCTTAAGTTTCTATCAATCAATATAAATCAATATAAATATTTATTTATATAAATGAGAAATACTCCTTTTGGTTCTATTACAGATCTCCTCCCGATGTTGTCTTTTACTGTATAAATCCAAGTTATTAGGACAGCTGTTTTTTTTTTTTTTTCACACCACTTTGAATAACAGCTACTTGTTATATAGAGCAGATGCAGTTAAACATGGGGATTCTTGGACAAATTACACTGCTGCATTCTCAGCCTTCATTTTTTCTGATTTGCTAATAATAGTGATAGCTTCTTGTTTAAATTGTTATTTTTCTCAAACTGAAGCCTACTCCTGAAGAAAAGTCTTCTGCAAGTCTAATTCTGACACACGAAAGATCTTGAGCAAAACTTTTACCCAATTGTAGTGAATATTACTATAATAAACAGCTGGAGGAGCAATGCAGTGGTGATATGCACGCAGTGAGTTGCTCATACTGGATAGAGGTCAGACTTAGACATGTTTAGGATTTGAAAATGGATGTGTCCAGCCAATTTTTTGGCCTGAAGGGCTGATGGCCAGAGCCATGAGCCTGGATCTTTGACTTATGCTAACCAGTGCTAATGTAGGCGTTAAAGGAATCAGGGAGAAGACTCGGATTCGGGGGACTTGAGCAGCTTGGTGGCAGGGCCTGTTTGTTCCTTTCTGTTGTCTGGATGAGGAAGCACAGACGTCTGCTATACGCACTGGACGTACGGGCTCCTCTGAAGAGCCCCACTTGTGTCCTCTCAGAATAGGCTACCCACAGATCAAACTTCTAGATTTAATGAAGCATTTAACAGGGAAGTCACCATATTTGTGAATCATTCACATAGATACCCTTCAAAACAGAAAAATGGATTGTGTGCCCTAAAGTTCACTTGTATTTTATTTTTTTAAAGCTCAACCAAACCGGTTGATCTTATAAAAAGATGTGGGTTCATCTCACAAGCCATTTCTTGCTTATAAAAACAGGAAAAGAGGAGTCTCCGTGCTCCAAAGAAAGCTTAAAAGAAGATTAATTAATTAATTAAGAATCTTTTCTTCTGAGTGCAACAGGATCTGAGTAACAAGTGAACTTTTCATTTCCAGTAATAGCAGAAATTACCTCAATAGCATGATTGTGAGCACCCGTGGGGCCATAATGTGAATGGTCTTTATTAAGGCATAGACTGAACTTCTGACTATCTTTCTTTCAGTCATTTCCACAGGCTATAAACAGCGCCTGGCTTGTTGCTATTAAAAGAGTCTAAAGATGACAATGCTGAAAAGCATTACTGTTTAAGTACTCAAGGCTTGACGTTAACATGAAAAATATTTTCTTGAAAGTAAAGTGAATTTGGGTTTTTCAGAATGTTAGAGTTTCCTTTGGAAATGTTTATGTGAAATACTTGTGATATATTGGAACAGGTTCCTGGTTTTATATTTTTCATTTTAATTGCTTATCATTACCTCTAAGCTTTGCTCGACTGTGGACCGTGGGATGTCAGAAAACATCTCGGGGCCAGTGAGTTCACACACTTCTTATGTTTTCTTGGTGTTATTTTCTGCCCGTGTTACTACCTGACGAAAGAGCCCGGTCTTGGTTAACGATCAGCCCTCATTATATAGATATCTTTACCACAAACGACTGCTCTGAGGAACAATCCTTCCAGTATAACACAGTGTTTTCTAAAATGATGCTAAGTAAAAACTAGAGTAATCCGCGATCTGCCGAGGTGATATTGAAGACATATCTCTTTTCCGCAGCAGACCTATGCATTAATCCTATGTTTTGGGATCTTTAATTGCTTTAAATATTTGCTTCTAGATCTGTGTTTCACACATCTTATTTACATGGTTTATTTTTCATTTTGTGAACAAATCGATAACCAGACAGACTCTTTACCACACTGGATTAGTTTTATTTATTCTCTTTGAACTTGATTAAAAAGCTGTCAAACATAAGTCTACATTTTATCAGCAGAATACTTTTACAAAACAGGGTAGGAGATGTGTATAGCTGGAAACATACATTTCAAAATGAAACAATATTTGATATATTCTAGACAGTTACCCTTTTGTTTATCCATGACAACTGAAACTAACCATCAAATGCATAAATTGATTCAAGTCTAGCCAAGTAATCCTAAGGGCATATGAAAAGGCTTTTTTTTAAAGGTCTTTCTAGATGAATTTAATGTAGTTCACCAATAAAGCATCCTCAGGAGCACAATACAAATGCTACAGAACATGAGATAGCTGGGGAAAGCGGGCAGATGTACAGTGTGATGAAGAATCAAAATGGATGTTACATTAAAATGAGCAGTCATGCAATGTCTTCATTTCATGTACTGCACTGAAGTAAAAACGCCAAAGTTCCAATTTCAGTTTTATTTTTGTGAGGCACTGCAATGCAAATAATGAGACTGTGTTTTGTTGGCTTTTTCTTTTTTTAGTAATTTGTTTAAATGTAATAGATTCAATCCTTTTTTCAGTTTGGGGACTTGATAATTCATCATGTATTTAACTTTCAATCCATATCAAAGGGAAAGGTAAATTATACTCAAAATCCCTATAAACTATGCGGTATCTGTTTAAATTTGTTGTGTTTGATATACATATTTATTCCATTTCCCACCAATCTCCTCAATTACTCTTTGTCTTTCTGTGCCATTGCATATGTTGGTAAACAGCATTTTCTATGGTCCTTGGCCATATGCTGTATGCTCAGCTTGCAAAAAACTGACACTTGGAGTGCTAGCATAATGAAACTCTCAAAGGGTTAATGCGGAATACATATAGGCAAATGTTGACAATATTTTTTATTCCAATGTTTGAAAATTAAACACAAAATCATCATTAAGTTTTCACAAAACGAGGCATCTGTCACTTGAAAGAAAAAGAAATATTTCAGAAATATGTTTACAGAAATGTAAAAATATTAGACATCAAGACAGATGTGAACGTTTTCAATAACAGGCCCTGTCTGTCAGTCTTCCTCAGAGCCGAAGATCTTGCTGTACTCACTCAGCATAAGTTCAACTATCTGATTTTGGTACAGCATGTGGACTGCCATGTTCCCTGTCTCCTTTTCAGGTCTAAGGAGTGTTGGTCCAAACACAATTCCTAAGCTTTGTGTTGACATAAGATTCACGGATTCCTTGGCTGCTATCCTGTTGACGAAAGGAAATAATTGGTTAAAAAACAGGGATGTCAAAGGAGTCGCTGTTGCACTCAAAGTATACAGAGGCACTTTCCTTTCTCGCTCACTCTCTTACTGGGGATGTTTATTTGGTTGAGTTATTGAAAAGGAAGAAAAGAGGGAGAGAAGTGACAACTTCTGCCAATCTGACAAGTAATGAAAGGTGATTCAGCCACAAGATGTGTGTGGAATGGAGAGCTAAAGACCCACTTAGGATTCACTTATATCAGGGCACGATTTTCTGCTGCTTTCTCGTGAATGCCCATTATTTCAGGTGTATGTTGTAAGGGAATAACTTCTGCGCTCATACATTTAGATACTGAAAATAGAGGTTGCCCCTTCTGTTAAGATAATCAAACAATATTAATGGTAACAGTTTTGGTGGCTGCCGAGAAAAATCTCCTTGCTTCTTGTAGCATGGTCTCCTGTGCTGAAAGAGTTGAGAAAACCCTTAATATAAAGCTCATATGAAATGCATTCCTTCAGCTAATTTAAATCCAATAAAGTTAGTATGCTCAGAAATGGATTGTGAAATTTATATAACTAAAAAGACTTTTGCGTGCCTTATCCTGACACGAAATTTCTTAAAAGGCACTGAGACCACATACCTTAATGGGGTGGCTTAGAAAACAATGGTAAGGATTATAACCTTTGATATCTTTATTACCCACAGATTATGAGAGGGGGACCATTATTATTAAAAGTTGATCTTTTGTCTGTATTAAGACTTAATATTCTTGTGGAAATGACATTAAGGATTGAGAAGCCCGGACTAAGAACAATATAGGTTTAATGGACAGAGGTTAGCTAGGCAGTTTTGCATAAATCTCTGCAGCGTTGAGTGTGGACTAAATAAAAATCCATTTCCTTTCACCCTCCAGAATATCTAAAATATCCTAGGCTGGAAAGACTAGTAAGCGAATATATTACAAGTATAGCTTTACATTGCTACATAGGAATATGAACTAAATGTAACTTTAATGAGTAAATGTTTGAATTTCTTGCCTAACCTGTTAGCTTGAACTTAAATACTCCAAGTGTGCTTCTGAAGCTAAGTTCTTCTTTTACTCGTCTCTTCCTATTTGTCACTCATTTACCTTTTAAAATCCAGACAGCAATTTTAAAATCATCATACACATCTCTGTTTTGCTCTACCTACTGCTGAACTTACAGCAAGCTAAACTATAAGTGAAAGAAACTTCATGAGACGTGGGTTCAGGTTCTTGGTACACTGCACAGCAAAAAGTGTCGTCTTGTGGATTTCTGCCAATCTTGTCATATACCACATTCCTTGAACACTGATGCTCATGGATTTTTCCACATTTAAATAGGAAACATTACTTAGTTCTGCCTCATGCTTTTAACTGTGGTGTCCATTGCACAGAACACTCTCCATATGGCACTAATCAGATTGGCTCAATTATTAGTTTCTTAAAATATAGCATCTTTATTATAAATTAAAAAAAAATAATTATGTTTCCTCTGTGGTAAGATTAACATATCATCACTTAGGAGTCCAAGAAGTCTCAGAAGTTAGTAGTTTTGTTGCCAAACGGCTGCGTGGGTTTCTGATGGACGTCACACATATTTATCACAATTAAAAAAGTTTGTAACGAGTGAAAATGTTTTTCTGAATGCCACTTATGCAGAAGGATGTATAAGGAGCTTGAGTCGTCCCTGTGAGAAGAACTTGTTTCTGCTGAACTTACTATAGGCTAGATGTTGGAAAGCTTATACAGTATTTTCAGATGACACAGATATAGAGAGGGATGAGGGGTTCACCAGGGAAAAATCATACTGAGAAGCTGTATATTTTATAATGTTAGAGATTAATTTAGTACTAGCCGTGGCTTTGCAATGAGGTGGCATTGACAATGGACAGCTGGATGAGAAACACTTTGCAGGGAGCAGGAGAGAATGAACCATAGATGAGCAGAATCAGAAAAAAAGTGATCAGGGATAAAGGACCTGATGAAGTGAAAGAAGAGGAAGGATCTCATTTCCTTGTTCTGTAAAATTCAGAGCAAGATCGTAGAGTCAGAATCAAAGAAAAGACTTTCAAGATCATCAAATCCAACCATCAAGATGTTGTTTCTGATGTGAACACAGAAAACAGAAGATGGATGCCCAATCGCTGTGCCCTCATTTGCCATCTTTATAAAGCAGAACGATTCCCCTTGCTTTCCCTGGAGATGCCCTCCTGCATGCTAAGTCCTGTTTGACCGATTTTGCTGCCAGCCATGGTCTGCAATCACTTAAGTTTCACAAAGTGAGAGTATGGCATAAACCTTGATGTTCATTGTGTGCATTGGCAATGCCAAGGAACCTGCTGTCTGGTTTGGTGCATCGATACGAAGCATGAAAATGTCCACACATGTATATAAGGCCTCTAAACTAAAGTTAGTAAAATAATTATTGTGTGGATAAAACCTCTTGAAAATTCTTGATGTTTTCTGTCTCTTCTTGCAATTGCACTTTTTTTGATGATCGTAATAACAAAAAAATCAAAGCCAAGCAAACAGGAATACTTTTCAGGAAAGTCTGAGTACTTAAATGGTTTGTGGCAAAATACAGATACTGGAGGGAAAGAAGGAAGGAATTTAATCCAGACTGAAGAAAAAAAATATGACTTTGGGACCTTTTGCCATTTTAAATTACAAATATTTACCAATGAAATTCCATAACTGCTGGTTTTTTCACCCATCCACCACCAAAAAAAAAAAAAAAAAAATCAAAGCAAAACAAAAACAAACTCAATTAAAATAGTTACCTTAGCTGCTAAGTGAAATTTAGTTACGAAAAACCTTAAAAAATGGGCAAGAATTTCTTTTTTGTCACAAAAAATAAAAAAGCAGAGAGAGTGATACACCATTTGCAACTTAAAAAATGAAAGGAAATTACAAAGCTATGTCTTGTCAAGCCCAAATGAAAGGAGCAATGATCCATCAATTTAAGATTATTTTAGAAACAATCTATAATCCAGTGCTACAGATAACGGAACCATATCTAGAAACTGCAGGGCATTATGGTGTGCAAGACTTTTTCCCCCCAAATAAGTGAGCTGAATTCCTAATATCAAGAATGGTGTTGGTCCTTAAATATTACAAGCCAGGAAACAGAAAGCACAGATCTCATTATTAATAGTAATGAAATTAATGATGTATTGAAACAGCAGAAGTGTGTGATAGGAGGACTCAAGTGTCAATGGCAGATATATAAGCAAGAATATTTAGAATTTATGCTTTGGCTGTTGCCAAGGCAACGGTGAGCTGGAAAGCGTGTGACTGAGAGCAGGGCAACCCTACAACTGAGAGGGTCATTGTATGGTGAGTTTGGCTTTCTAGTTTCATTAAACCTACACTTTTCAAACTCCCTAAATAAAATTGTTATTAATTTTGACATTTGGAAAGCACACTGGATTATTACTTCAAACAAGCTAGGTGTTAGGAAATGTTCTTCATCCATTTCTGCTCTGTAGAAATGACTGAGGAGGAGAAAGCATTTCAACAGTGACTGATTCCTCACCATTTTAATGTTCTTACTGCACATAAATAAACAGATAAGTCAGTGTCTTTAGGGAGGAAAATCCCAGTTGGAAAGGAGCTGTCTTAATGTAGGCTGAAGCATGTTTGGGAGTAGAGCTGCCCTTTGCTCAGATGGCAATGGTTCCCTCCTACTTAGTACTATCTTACTGTTCTAAATTATATCTAAGGGTAAATTTTCAATAGGATCAGAGCCTGCTGCTCTTCCATGAACTTGAAACATTGCCTATGATTAAGGGCAACACATTACAAAATGAGGCTGATCCCTAATTTTGATGAAAAAAAAAAAAAACTGGAGAGTAAGAAAGTCATCTGGTAAATACTATGGACCAGAATGACAGGTGTAGGAAATGAAATTCTCTGAAGCCAGCAGATGACTAAGAGATAAAAGTAGGTTTTCTTGTAAGAACCTTGTCCATCAGCATTCTGCACAATATTTGATTTAACTGCTGAAGTCACTGCCGTGAGGGATCAAAACCAAAGATCTAAATAAAGGCCGAGAAAAATTAAAGATACGTAGTTATAAGGAATACTCTCCAGGAAGGAAAGAAAACATATTTATGACATCCATTCTCTTTAACAAGCAACTCTATAGGATTAGGAAAGGACTGCCCCGTTCTGTGGGTTTTGTATCTTTGCTGAATTGTGCTAGCAACAACTAGCCAGATGGTTTTATCTGCAAATTCCTCTGTTTTGCGCCAGGGGGGTGAAAGTCTGCACATTCCTTTGATTTGCCTTACCAATAATTATCCTCAAATTATCCAATATTGGTTTCCTATATGTAGTCAGAGATATGCAAATACGTTGTTTTATCTTCAGAGCTCTGTCCTGGGGATGCCTCAGCTGCCTTGTCAACTGAGTTTACTCACCTCAAATATCGCTGTCTTAACAGACCTTATCACCACACTATGATGGGATAGTTTTCATGTAGTAGTTGTCTGATTTTTGATATTGCAGAGCATGTAAAAATCTGACTTTTACAATGAACAACATTCAACTCAGTGTTTTATGCTCTTCTCCATCTCAAAAGCTGGTTCACAGGTTTTAAAAAATAACAGGTATTACATACTTTGCTTTAGTGACAAGACATTTGGGGGAGAAATCATCCAAGCTTGAAATAAAATCTTTATTGAAAGCAATTCTATATCCATGCCAGTCAGATGCTTTGTATGATCGGAAGAGATGTCCCTGGGGAAAGCTCGGCACAGTAGACAGGGTTGATTACTTGGACCTCCTGTCAGTTCTTAACTCACTGAAAATGGCTGAGGCATTCAGCACAACTTTGTTTCCTTTATTTGGAAGTAAAGTTAATATACTTACCTTAACTGTGCCAAATGTACTGGAAAATAACCTGATAATAAAACGTACCATCCTACTAAGTGATAATGTCTGTGTGTGTATAAGCACATTTTGGCTGGGCTTATGCAGA